CAATTGGAAAACTACAAGCAACTATTAGGTAGTTGTGGGAGGGGGAGAAAGATAGATACCTTTAAGCGGAGAGAGTAAAGCGATAGTTAGTAGTCACAAACAATGAAATCTAGCTGCAATAAGAAAACAAAATTAAGCAAATCAGTGTGCAATTTACTTTCACAAAAGCAAATAAAAGTAAATCATTGTAATGCTTGAACCCTAATCCCAATTTTTTAGAAAATCTTACTTCGAAAAAACCCTATTTTCAGAATACCCAAGCTACTAAAATCACTATTTTCATAACACCTCAAACTTACTTCGAGCTAAAGGAAATGGAAAGAGTTAAAAGTTATAAAACCCTATTTTCAGAATATCGACACTAATAAAACCTCTATTTTCAACACATCTCAATAGTACTTCAAACTAATAAAATGAAAAGAGTTGAGAGCTAAAAAACTCTAATTTTCACAAACCCATCAGAGATAGAGAGATGATAGTTTGAGAGCTCACTTTTTAGACCGAAATGGAAGATTGAAGGAGATGATAAGAGTTACAGAGCTTACTTTGACATGAAGATTGAAGGAGATGAGAGTTCCAGCCATCAGAGAGCTTACATCGTCATTACTTTGAGAGATGAGAGTTTCTGGTGAAAATGGAAAGTGTGGGATGAAAATTGAGAGTGAAGTGATTTAGCTTAGACAAAAACATAATTTTGCAACAGCCTTAGTGACGGATTTTAATATCCGTTGCTAGTAAAAATTATTTATTTAGATTTAATTCTAGCAACAGATTTTTCCGTCACTATATAAATTAAATTTTATAAAAAATATATTTTTAAGTTTAGTGATGTTTTTCCGTTGTGGAATATTAATTAAATTGGTCACACTTACTTGGTTGCCAAATTGGTAGCGAAAACTAGGGCACCAAAATTTCGCGCTCATTTTTAGCGACCAAACAAATATTTCGTCGCCAATCCGTCGCTATATCATAACTTAAAAAATTATTTGCAATTCTTGCGACAAAATGTCTATTCCGTTGTGAATCCGTCGTTATATAGTGACGGAATAAAATTCGTCGCTAATATCTGTCGCTAAACAGTGTTTTTTTAGTAGTGTTCTTCCCTGAAAGACGTTGAGAAAAACCTCCAGGAAGATGAATAACGTAACTAATCTGATAGTACGGTAATCGTTGATAATTGACGGGATGCTACGAGCATCGCCATAGCTCTTTACGCGATTAGATCAATGGAGATTTTGAAGTAAACTGATTAGATGAATGGAGATGAAAAGAATTAGTTTTTCAGCTTTTAAGCACAAATACCTAGTTTTATTACTCCTATTTAACTCCACTTGAAACTAATAATTATTGACTCTCTCTTTATTTCCAGATTTATTGTATATCATTTTCTTAAGTATTAAATTAAATAAAACCTCCCATTATCTTAATATCTTTGCTTCCATTACAAATATTTAAGTGCAATTTGATTTATGTGCGGAATTGAATACAAGTTTTTTTTTAAAATTTGGGAGTTCTTTTAATTTATATTTTTTTAAATGTAGCTTCATGACCCATAAAAGCTTTTTTAGAATTTTTCTTTAAATTTTTTATTTTCTTCATAATTTATTCAAGTCAAAATAATATCCTGAAATATGTTTTTTAAAAAGCTACAGCAAATACAAAAACTTACTTGATTTTTTAAAAAAAATTAAGATTTTGAAGAGGTATTTATTTTCGCTCGAATAAATTATGAAAAAAATTTAGTAAATTTAATCTAAATATCCATTATATATTAATCAAGGCACACATTTCAAATACTAACGTGTCAGAGACTTGTTTTCTTAAAAAAAAATTGATAGATACAAAATTATATTAAACAAACACTTCTTGTAGTTTATCAACCATTTTGACTTTTTTCTTTTTTCTTTTTTCTTCTCTTTCTTAAAAAAAAAATAGAGAGAGAGAACAAGTTAAATAAGGGGTACATTTTCTGGCTATATGAATCTAAATAAGGGGTGAAAAAGAGAAGGCGTAGTGGTAATAAGGAATATGATGAGATGGATGAATTTTTTTATTTTATACTTGATCAAATTTATTTAATTCATTTTATGCGAATAAATAAATCATTACTTTATACATCATAAATATAAATTATTAGATCAATAAATATATTGAATACCATATAATTATAAAATAAAAAAGTAAACAATTGTCTAGTTGACTTTGAAGACTATTGGTGAACATAAATAAATAAAATACTATGGAGTTAGAAATCATATGAGGATATACAAGTAAAAGAATAATCACAAAGTTACTTATCTTTTTACTTTCTTTTTAACTATGTGTTTTCAAAATTTACTAATCTAACTAATTTAAATAAGTTTTCTATCAAATTATTTTTCTATATTTTTACAACACAAAGTCAATATGTTTAATTATGGATAAAGTTTTTATCCACCCCAATTATAACAATAAGCACAAGTAGAAGTTTTTATGCTTGATGCTTGCATCATAATTGAATTCTTAAAAAATGTATTATTTTTAATAAAACTGATACATGTTTAAATATATTTTTGAAAAGTTTAATTAACCAAAAAAAAAAAAAAAGGATCACATAAAAACTCTGATTGGTAGGGGAATTAAATCATGTACTTACCATAAAAATGTTAACTATTTTTGTAAGAAAAAGTTCACTCATTAAATAGTTTAATGTGTCTGTATGCATTTGGGAAAATTGTGGAATTAGCATAGAAATCGAATAATTTCAAATAGGCAAATAATCTGATAGTATAAAGACAAAATAGATTCATATGAATTGTGATAAATGATTGAAATGTTTTCATACTTAATAAGAGATATCGAATTTAATGGGGAAAAAATCTATTGGATGCGGCCTCTTAAGCCTTATTATAGTCGAGCCTTAATATGATTATTGGACTCTGAATTATCTCTAATTAATCAAACCTCAATACAATTATCACTGATCATGAAATTGATTTTATCAAACTTTATATAAATATCGAACGCGAATAAAAAACCACGCTATTGGTGTGCAGCAACTAGCAAGGAAAGGCTGAATGATAATCACGATTAATTAGTGACTATTATGACTTTAAGACATGCTTATTAGTTCCTTATTATGATTTTAACTTAAATTTACTGTTAGCTTAATGACAATTTTATACTATCATAACAATTGAACTTATTAAAGAAAAGTTACAATTGCTTTATTTTTCATGTTATGAAAAAATATTTTTTTACAAGTAATATTTGTAATTACCTTTTAAATAAAGTAAATTTTAATCTCAGTCCTCTGATATATATTAACCAATTCTAGCAATTTTATTGTTTTTAGTATATGTAATTAAATAAATTTATATTTAATTAATTATGTTATTCTATTTATGGATCTTCATAAAATTAAGGCATAATACATAAATGTGCCATTTAACTTGGTCTCATTTTACATTTATGTCCTCCAACTTTGGATATGCACAAGTAGACACTTAAACTTGTATAAAGTAGAACAAGTAAGCACACGAGTTCTACATGGCACAATACACGTAGGACAAAAAATGACATATAGGATGTCATGTAGGACATGTGTGTCTATATGTTCAACTTTATACAAGTTTAAGTGTCTACTTGGGTACACCCAAAGTTGAAGGGCATAAATGTGATTTGAAGCCAAATTAAAGGACATATTTATGTATTATGCCGTAAAATTAAACATGTTATATATCGTCTCATTATTTGACTATCATAAAATTAATTTATGTTTGATTAATTAAAATATAAATTTACGTTATTCTACTTATAAATCATCATAAAATTAAACATGTTATATATCATTTCATTATTTGATGATGTTAAATTACTATTATTATTCCATATATGAAGACTATACAATTTTAAAGATGGTCTATGTCATATATATAGTTCTTCCTATATAAAAAAGCAAAAAAACAAATATTTTCACAAATTTAAAGATTAAATTGTTGAGTCATATTTCACAAAGTCAAAATTAAAATTTCTCTAATAGCTAAGAGTTCAAAAAACAGTTTTTCCCCCTCTTTTTTCCTCTTTATAATTTCACTTTTCGAAATTTTTATATTTGAAAAATTCTAACAATTATTTTATGTAAAATTGTCTACACATTTTTAAAACATCTTAATTATAAAATAAATATTTGTACTTTTTATATAGTAAGCTAATTTTAAATATTAAATTTAGTAGCTAAAGTATTTTAAAAGTATTTGGTATATAAGATTTTTAGAGTGTTTTTCTGTCCACTAACATATCAATACATCTAGTATAATAATAATATATATACTCTGTATTTTCACAATGATAATACAAATTCAATTACTTTACTTGAAACAAATTCACGATCAAATTATGGTAATTTACTATTATGAGATGATAACTTAGAAGTAAAATACACATTCACTTAATGATACTACATTTTTAATTCATATGAGCAATAAAAAACAAATTTTCTAATCCACAAAATAAAAAATAAAAGTAATATTTTAATTTAATTTTTAGATTTTATTTATGAAATTACACCTAGTGTTATTGCACCATAATAGGTTTGGTACTTTGGTTCATATATTGAACCATATCCACTAAATAATGGAGTCCCAAGAATATTTCCTAAAATTCTGCCCTTCATATAGTTTTATTTATTTACTCTTAAATTTTTATTTTTATCACCAAAAAAAATTAAAAATGATTAGTGGCCATTAAAGAGTAAATAAAATATAAGTATATAAAATGCATGTTTTTTCACTAATCATTCGCATTATTCAATTACACCTCCTCTCTGTCTCTCTCTGTCTCTCTCTCTCTCTCTCTCTTCTTTCTCTCTTCACTCTACAGTGTAAAATCTCATAAGAAGAAGAGGATTGATTGTCTACATTTCTGAATAAAAGAGAACAGATTCATGAAGGGTCTAGTAAGTACGTTTTTTTTTAAAGGATTTTTACAAGTTTAATTTTTTTCAATTTTAATTACGTGAGCAGCATCTGCTATTTCCAAGAAACAGAGTATTAATCTTTATTTGTTGTTGCTAATCGAGTTTTTGGTGTGATTTTAGTAATGGGTATTCAATTTTATTGCAAAATTTGTGCTAAAAATTGAGTCTTGGAGCTACTTTTTGTACTGTATGTACTTTCAATGGACTTCTCTTCATCTTTGTGGAATTTGCTTAAATTGATTGTTATGACTACTTCTTTAGAAATTTTCTCGATCTGGAAACTGGGATCTTATGATTTGGTCTACATTGTCTTTTTTCAGGAGAATAAGTAGGACAGGTTTCTAGATTTTAGGATTTTTTTTTTGCAATTCCAAGATTTTGATTTTTTTTGTTTCCTAGAATGAACTTGTTTTGTAAGTGGGGATGCTTATATTTTTGTGTCTATTTTGCTCATAAATATTGAGACAAAAACACCAGTTGAAGGTAACAGGTATCCCGTAAATTAGTTGAGGTGTGCGGCAAGTCAACTGGTTATATAAAAAAGAAAAAAAGAAGAAGAGGGATCTGATATGAAGCTGCAGCTGGTATACAATTGGTTAATCTCAGTGCTTTGAATTACTAAAAGCTTGTGAATTTATGTACATACACCTGATTTGTGCTCTTCTTCTTTTTGTTTCCTTTTTCTGTTCTCATTATTATCTTTGTCATTTGTACTCCCTTTTTTTAACTTACATTCATGAGGACTTGCCATAGTTTTGTGTTTTTGCTTCAGTTAAAAGCTCAGTTACTTATTGCTACAAGGTTTCTTTTTTCTGAAAATGAAAAAAAAAAGTTATCTAGTTGAGCTCTTTCTACTGGTTTTGTCTAGTCCTTTTCTGAAATTTTCAATTATTGGAGCTCTTTTGTATCTCACTTGGTTTTTTTTCGAATCTACTCGTTATAGATGTCGACAAAGTACTGTTTCAACTATAACTTTGGCCTAAGTATGCAATGCCGTGGTTTAACTTTTTTAGATTTTTGTCTTCCTTGAGCATCTGCATCCAACCAAAACAATGTCATAGGTAAAAAAGCCAAAAAGACCCGGAGTCTCTTTTTTCTTATTCTTTAATAGTGGAGAAATGCTAGATTTGAAGAACTTTTATATAATGTTGGAGGACATGGGACCACTGATATTGTATTGGTAGCTTTTTAACTGACCACGCTATGCATTACTCTTCATGTGAGTCTCTTGCTTGCATATGATTATTGATTATTGATGGGATTGATATTTCAAGATATGAATGGTTAAGCAGTAGTAAGTGCATGGTACTGAAAGACTTACCATTTCCTTTTTTGCATTTATCTTTTCCAGGCAGTGCTAATTTTGTTGTTGGCGTTAAGTCGTAGTATTGAACATACTGAAGCTCAATTTGACGGAGAATGCAAATTCAACAAGCCCCTGGAACCCAGACCTCACAGTGCATCAGTGTTGGACTTTGGGGCTGTGGGTGATGGGGAGACTCTAAATACTCTGGCCTTCCAGAATGCCATTTTCTATCTCAAGTCCTTTGCTGACAAAGGTGGAGCACAGCTCTATGTTCCAGCTGGAAGGTGGCTGACCGGAAGCATAAAGCTTACCAGTCACCTCACACTCTTCCTAGAAAAAGAAGCCGTTATTCTGGGATCAAAGGTTAGCCCCCGGAATGGTTCTGAAGTTCCAGCTTGTTTAGATTTTTTTTGTGTTCATGGAAATATAAAGGCTGTTGCTGTATTTACAATAGCCGAATTAATTCTTGGAAAAGAAATGATTAGCTTGAGGCACTCAAGGGTGTGGCCTAGTGGTTAATGAGGTGAGTCGAAAACCATGAGGTCTCAAGTTCAAATCCTAGCAGAGGCAAAAATATTAAGTGATTTCTTTCCAAGCCTTGGTGCATGTGTTGGTTGGAGGTAGCAAGTACCCTGTGGAATAGTTGAGGCGCGTGCTAGCTGGCCCGGACACCACAATCATCAAAATAAGAAGAAGGGAGAAATGATTAGCATGAAAACTTGTAGCACTTAATGATGAGGTGTTATGGTTTAGTTGCTATAAATTATACTGAAATCTACATTCAGGCAACTCCAACAGAGAAGATGATAGATGTTCTGCCGCGGAAGGGTAGATCACAAGTTGTCATAACCTCCTAATAATCAAATTTTAATGTTTGTATATGCATTATGATGGTGGGGAGTAACTTCAGGTCTCAATGTATTTACATATGCATTGGATATATACATTTGTTATTTATAAGTATACGTTTTTGCAATATAGGATTATGCTCATTGGGATATAGTCGAAGCCTTACCCTCTTATGGTGGAGGTATTGAGGCACAAGGTGGAAGATATCGCAGCTTGATTTTTGGAGATAATTTAACTGATGTTGTGATAACAGGCAGGAATTCCTTCATTGCATTGATCTACTAATTTAATATTTCTGTTGTTATCCCTGCATGCAGCCACCTCATGCCTATTGCTTGTGCAGGTAATAATGGAACTGTTGATGGTCAGGGTTCTATATGGTGGGAGCAGTTCACTGCCCATTCTTTAAATTATACTCGACCACACCTAGTAGAATTTGTTAGCTCCAAAGATGTTGTCGTCTCAAACTTGACCTTCCTGAATGCTCCGGCCTGGAATATTCACCCGGTGTATTGCAGGTAAGTTCATTATCTCTGTGAGAAAAGCTTTTCAATATAAGGTTCGGCGGTAAGATCTGAAATTTTCATATTTTGCAGTAATGTTGTGGTTCAAAACATATCGGTTCATTCTCCAGCTAACTCCCCATATACCTATGGCGTAGTACCAGGTTGATTTAAATATAATTATTTCTCTTACCTTTTTTACTTTGTATACAACATTTGTGCATCTGAAACCTGTTTTAAGTGGTACATAAAGTAGCCAACACTTTTGTTTGTCCAAGAACCTCAGATTGATTTTCTAAGACAATTTTCAGCCAAAAATTGGATAATTTTCTTTACACTCAAGGGGAAGAACCGGATAGTTTCCTGTTACTGCTTAGTTCATCAAACAATGCCAGTTTTGTGCAGCAAAACAGAAACAAGTTTATAATAAATTAAATGTATATACACACACACACACCAACAACAACACCATTAGTATAAATTTGAAGGTACACATAGCCTTCACTCTGGTTTTTACTTTGATGAGACTAAGTACTCCAGATTTTACTGAAACAATATGTAGTTGTTTGTTCTGTTTTAGAAATTTAGAGGTACTTTCCAAGTAATGTGAGACCTTATATGCAACTTCAGATTCTTCCGAGCATGTGTGCATTGAGAACAGCAACATTAGCATGGGCCATGATGCTGTTGTTCTCAAAAGCGGTTGGGATGAGTACGGGATTTCCTATGGCAAACCTACTTCGAATGTCCATGTTCGAGGGGTTAGGCTGCAGTCTTTTGCAGGTGCTGGAATGGCTTTTGGCAGTGAGATGTCTGGTGGTATCTCCAATGTGCTAGTAGAGCATGTTTACTTGCATGACTCCCTTTTGGGGATTGAGCTGAAGACAGCAAGAGGAAGAGGTGGTTATATCAAAGATATTCAAGTTACAGATGTGGTTATGGCAAATGTGCAAGTGGGAATTGAGGCCACCGGTCATTGTGATTCTCATCCGGATGAGAAATTTGATCCGTCTGCACTTCCAGTTGTTAGTGATATCACCTTTGAGGACATTGTTGGCACAAATGTTTCTATAGCAGGCAATTTCACTGGATTATCTGAATCTCCCTTTACTTCAATATGTCTATCAAACATCACCTTTTCCATTTCTTCCAACCCTTTTACACCATGGCTATGCTCTGATATATCCGGTTCTTCTCAAAATGTGTCTCCTGAACCATGTCCTGAGCTCGAGAGCTCATTTTCTAGTACTACTTCAACTTGCTTTGCCCTCTTACACCACCCTTACAGTCAAGTTGCAGTTTTGTAAGTGAAACAATTCATTTCATTGAAACTATACAATGAGACACATTTCAACTTCCAATGCTGGTGTACATTCTCCAATAAGATGCAATGCAGAATCTACAGTGTCGTGCTTATGCAAGTATCAAGAATCCAATGATACAAACATTTTCAAAGTGGCCTGAGATCGCTGATTGTCGCCTGTGTACAGCATCAGTTTCTTCATTCACATATAGGAAAAGTTTTGGTAGTGCAGCAAATTCAGATGAGTTGTTCCTTTCTTGTCCCTTTGTTCATTTGAGTTTTTTTTGTCATTTGTCTTACATTTGTAAATTAGGCCGCAAAGAAGGGGTGTTATAGTTGATTGTCATTGTTGAAATAATCTTTTTTTGTCATTTGATTGAATTGAAAAGAGTTGTTAGTACAGAGTCTTGAGTTGAAGGCATCAAATTGCAAATTTTCTTTTAAGGTTACCTCTACTTGCACACCCTGCCTTTTGAGGTGACTTTAATGTTGTCATATCAACATTACTAGGTATTCATATGTAGATCAAGAATTATTATGGAGATAAGTTATTTTTCCATTTGATTGAATTGAAAAGAGTTGTTAGTACAGAGTCTTGAGTTGAAGGCATCAAATTGCAAATTTTCTTTTAAGGTTACCTCTACTTGCACACCCTGCCTTTTGAGGTGACTTTAATGTTGTCATATCAACATTACTAGGTATTGTCTTGAGTTGAAGGCATCAAATTGCAAATTTTCTTTTAAGGTTACCTCTACTTGCACACCCTGCCTTTTGAGGTGACTTTAATGTTGTCATATCAACATTACTAGGTATTCATATGTAGATCAAGAATTATTATGGAGATAAGTTATTTTTCCATTTGATTGAATTGAAAAGAAATCATAGCCCACAAAGTCTCGTGTTCAAGGTATGCAATTTTCCGTAGGCAACATTATCGAAAGCAGCAGCAACAACATATCTAGTGGAATCCTACAAGTGGGGTCTGGGGAGGGTAGAATGTATGCAAACATTACCACTATCTCGTGGAGGTAGAGGTTGTTTCCGAATGCTCAAAGGTCCGTTGGTATTTAATGAAAAAAGGCGCAAACATATATATATATAGTCCAAGAATAATAATTATAAGCATGAATAGAAAATAAATGAACAAAGAAATTGAAAAAAGTTAAAATAAAGTGATATATCAATTGTTTAGTGTTTCTTCTAAAGAGGCTCATTATTGTCAAGAAAAAGTATGTCATAGAACCTTAATGATGAGATTGAAGTGCTCATTAAGCAAGGTGAAATGTTCTACATGTTTTGAGCCTCACTTTAGGGCTTAAGCACGCCTTTGACAATATTGTGTATTAGTTATACACTATATTGAGTATTAAGATGTGTATCACTATTTACTAATATCATTGATTTCTAGGTATTAGCAATGTAATGGTTTTTAATGCATGCATTAACACGATTAAAGACCCATTTGCCCCTCAAAACCTTTTTTACATTTTTTCCACCATAAATCATAATAGTGGAGGTATCTTTGTAAATAATTTTTTTATGCAATGCATGCTATTTTTAATACATCAAACTAAATAATGCATAAAAAAAATCTATGTATAATTAATGTAAGCATAACTAATACATGCATTGTTAATGCAAACATTATAACTACACTCTAATTAGTATTATTTTTATACACTGTACCGAACTTCCAAACTTCATGTTGTCATGTCAACATTAGAAAACATTATGGCAAGATTTGTAATGGAGACAGGTCTTTAACTGACAGTACCTTAGTTTGTTTTGTCATTTCATTTTTCTTTTGGCCCAGTTAACAATAAGCAATTGCTATCGATTTGCTAAGTAAAAGGTGTTCAGGCAGACACTATGGTATAAAATATGAAATATGCCATAAGGAGCACAATCTTGTAAACAATACTAAGATGAATTACGTAGAAATAGTTTTCTAGCCCTTTACAAATTATTTTTTTTAGTTTTATGGTCTTCTTAAAAATACGAAATGACCGTTATATAATATTCAAATTGGAAGAGATCTCATTTCCTGGATGAATTATGTGGAAGGACATCAACTGATGAAAGTTGTCCTGGTCCCTGCCTGTATTCCACTGAGTTCCATTATCCTTGCTATAATAGTATGTTGTATGATGGCAGTAGAAGTCACTTTGTTGCTCGAATTCTTCAAAAATGTCGACATGTGCATGTAGAATCCTCCAAAATAGTTTATTTTTGGAGGATGTGACATGGTTACACCTGCATTTTTGGAGAGTCCGGACAACAAAGGAGCTAAAAGAAACAAAGATGACAGCATTTGGATCCAGGGAAGGGGACAAGTAAAACAACTAGATGTAGACTGAAGAAACATTCATGGTCCCTGCCTATATTCCACTCAGTTCCATTATCCCTTGCTATAGTATGTTGTATAAAGGCAGTAAAAGTCACTCTGTTGATCAAATTCTTCAAAAATGTCGATTGGAGGAACCAAACGGGTGTTTTGGAAAGTCAACATAGGAACTAAAAGGAGAAAAAGATGACAGCAATTAAATCCAGGGAAGGGGACAAGTAAAACAAATAGATGTAGACTGAAGAAACATATTTTCAGTTCTCACTCTTTAAATTGTAGAGTATATATATGTGCAAAATTTACAAAGTCGAATCCCACAGACTATCAAATCAAACAATAACGTTTGAGGATCGTCACACTCTGCTACCTACTACAACGCTATCCAACACGAACTTGAACTCTTACAACTCGAATGATACAAAAATTACAAGCAACTGGAATTATTGCCTCATTTGCACAAGTAATTTGATGGGAAAAATCAAAGAGAGAAACTGTGTAAAAAAAATAAAAAATGCAAAACCACTCTCATTCACTCGCCACAATAATAACCAAAAAATAATAAGAAGAATTGTAAACTCTTTTCCTACTTCCTGCTTCCAGCTTTTCGCTTCATTTCAGCAGTCATGGCCTGTCTGCCATTCCGCTGATTGTGGCTAATTCCACTTGTCTGTCGTGATAGTGGAGGCCCTACTTTATGAACCACATTCCTAAAATAGGCAGTGAACAAATTAGTATTAAAAGATTGCTATTTGACTACTGTTCTGTTACAAGAAGCATCTTACTTTTGAGATACAAATAAACTACAAAGTGATTGGGATTAAGACTAACCTTGATTCTGGTATCTTTCCCGGTTTTGTATTTGGTTTTTGTATCTTTGAGCCATTCCCACTACTAGGGAAAGTGTTAACTTTTGAATTATTGAATTGCCAAAGCAAATCTGGCTCCGACGAATCACTGGTAGTGGCATCAAACTCATCTAAATCTTCAGTAGCAGTGATGTCAAAGTGATTGCTCATTTGGAAAAGATTACTTGTTTTTTCTTGGTATACTTTAGATGAATCTGAAAGATATTTCTCATAAAGTACATCCGAGCCATTGCCTTTTTCGGATTCCCAACATCCAAACAGGTTTCCAACTCCACGGGCAGCTTCCTGTTTGTTCACCATGACCTTGTCTACCCACTCACCTGAGCTCATGTTAATATCATCTTCTACATAGTTTTCGGAAGGACTGCTAACAGGTGGCCAGGGAGAGGAATTTCCTAATAACTCATCAAGATCAAAGCTTTGCCTCCTTTGTCTGGATGCAGAATTACTAGAGACCTGCAAATTAAAGTAAATTATAATATGTCAAACACGATGATAACTGCATGTATCAAGATGGAAGCTTATAAGAATCATTAGGAGCTATTTCGTTGTATTTCCATATTTATTATTTAACTATATAGCAATAACTCCACAAAACATTTATAGATTCAGATACTTTTCACGAAGTAATTCAGATTCTTATTAATATGAAGAGCACGATGGAAATACCATTAGTGTACTAGACCTCAGTAAAATATTCTTCTGCTAAACAGGAAGGGGTCTGCAATTTATCCTTAAGCGATTGAACTCAATTCTGTCGTAGAGATTTTACCTCTCTGTTGCCTACATCCTCCACTGGTCTCCTCTGGATGTTTGAATTCCCCAACATCTCTCTCCCTTGTAGATTAGATTGAAAAGGTGATGACTGCAAGCCACCTGGACTGCTAGTAACCTTATAACTCATGGAGACCGGTTCCGTCTCTTTTCTTGCCAAGGCAGCTTTCAGACTAGCAATCTGATGAAAATAATCATACGTGAGCATGTATACATGGACTACAAACTCGTGCTATAATAGAAAGAAGGAATGATTGATGGTGGGGGAAGAGATATGGTGTACCTGTTCTTTGAGCTCTTTGACATCTGTAGTGTCTTTATGTACTCGGGCAGCACCAAGTTCAACAGTAGAAACACGTTCTGCAAATTTAAGTGTGCTAATTGTTTCTCCTATGGCATCAGGTTCAGGACTTATGTGAACAAACATCAATGTTTTGGCTTGCCCACCTAAAACGAATGACATCCCAAATCATATTTTTACTTGAGAGAAAGAAGAGAACCTCATTAAGATACAAGCTTTGATCAGTTAATATATGCCCTTACCTAGTGAGTCTTGAAGTAGTTGTGTAAGTTTGCTGTTACGATATGGAACGTGTGCGTTCTTTTGCGCCAGGGCAGAGATTACATCACCTAATGCTGAGAGAGACTTGTTAATGTGCTGTGCCTCTTTAAGTCTATCTCCTGTTACTTCAGATTTATCTACTCTCTCACTTCCAGCAAGATCAACCAAATGCATACAGCCTCGAAGAATGGCTCCAGAAGTCAAGTCTCTTCCTTGGACATGAACAGTTAGGCAACTGCAGGCCAAAAAACAAGACAGTTCTCATTTTCATTTGAAGTTCTTGCAAAGTACTAGAAAGTAATCAAAGAAAGACGGAATATCCATCACACCTGTGAGAGCGGCTACTGCGGTCATTGAGTGCTGTTGCACTCACTGCACGATTCCTTTGTCCAAGATTCATCAAATCAATGACGTCAGAAGTTGAAGCCACACGAACCAGACTTGCATCTGGTACTGTTAGTCCTTGAGAAGCACTACGAATTTCTAATGTAACAATAGGTTAAGGAAGACGGGAAGTAAAAGACTGAACAGTGGATTAATAATAATTCTATTGCTTACCATAAAGACATTGAGAAGTTAATATAATTGGGACTCAATATAAGAATGTCCTTGCATGTATATATTAGACTAGTTTTTGAGCACTTTGCACGTGTGTTTCATGTGAATTTTTATAGATACGTTAGGATGACTAAAATTTCATGGAAATATATATGTAAATTGTAATGAATAATAAAATGCAACAATTACAAAATAAGAATAAAGACTTACGGCAATAAAACATTCATAGAAAATTAAATTAAGAAATCCAATAGAGAAAAAAAAAGACAAAAAGAAACAGATTTAGGAAAAAAATACAATGTACACATTATTCTTATAAGACTGATGTATAGATGAAAAAATAAG